TTTGGCAGTAGAGGATTAATACACAAGTGGTGTGTAATAATGTTAGGCCAAAATCTGCTTTGAAAAGTTTTCTATCCCTAAGAAAAAAGACTCCTTTGGTTTATCTACCTTATGGAGTGTTTGAAAATTGCTTTTGAATTTCTCTTATTACTGGTTTGTTATAGATGTTATTTTGACACATTCTTACACACCTTTATGTTGTTCAGGGATTTGCCTGGCTGCCCGGTTTGAAAACCCCCCAGAGGAAAAATTTATTCTTCTTTTTCATTAGTATTTACTCAAATATTAAAGAGTATGTTGAGTAGTAAAAGATAAGACTTTTATATACCTGGAACTTAGACACCTCATATTTAAATAAGTGCAAGGAATCACTATTCTCCCAGGAGAATTCTAGTGATTTCCTCTCTCTTTGAAATAAATTCCAAAAAATAAATTCAGAATAACAGAGTTGGAAGAATTTTGGAGGTCTTCTAGTCCAATCCTCCTACTCAAGCAGGAAACCCTATACCAGTGATGGCTAACCTTTTCCAGATCAAGTGCCCAAAGTGTGCGTGTGTATGCATACATGCCCGAACCACCAAAATGCAATGCGTGTGTGGCCCCCACATCTGCCCCACCCTTATGCATGTGTATGTGCCCCGTGCATGCACTCCACCCCCTCCCCTGTGCATGCAAGGTTTCAAAAAAATTTGCTACCAGTTCGATGGGCGTGGCTAGGACAGGGGGGGCATGTTACTGAGTGGGTGTGGCCAACTTGACATCACTCACACCCATGCCCACATAGTCACATGACCCCCTCACCCAGCCAAGCCTACAGGAAAAGGTAGGAAAATTTTTGGAATTTCCACCTATCTACCCCCCCTCCCTTTGCCAGTCGCCCCTGTTCCCCTCCTTTAGTGGCCCCGGTCATAGCCCCATTTCCTCCCCCACCACTGCCTCTTTATTTGGGCTGCTTACCTTCCACGGCAGCTGCTCCAGAGTCCAGAAGGCAAGTTGACTGGAGTTTTCGGCAGCCCCCAGCCAGCCGCCCCTGCTGGAAAGTGCTGGCCACCGAAAAGTACTGGAGGTCATGTAAAAAGCTGCTGCGATTGCCACCATGTTCTTCGCACATGTGCATCCCATGGACTTGCAAGGCAATGGGATGCACATGCATGAAGAACATGGCGGCGACGAATATGATGAATGGGGCGAGCGAGCGGCGACCGGGGGACCGGTTTGGTGGCATGTCCAGCCAGCCATCGCTACCGGTTTGGCAATCTTGGTCAAATTTCTGCCAACGGTTCACGCGAACCGGTGCAAATTGGCTGAATACCACCTCTGGCATGCACACGCCCCACACATGCATCCTGCCCCGCACATGTGCCCATCCCCACGCATGCACCCTGCTGTCACGCAGTGCTCGCAGCCTCCCCACATGCTCTTTACCCCCTGTGCATGTGTGTGTGCCCCCCACATATGCCCCACCCCATGCTCATATGTGGCAGAAAACTGAACACCAGCTGGCCAGTGGGAGGCACATGTGCAGCAGAGCTGAGCTGAGCTGGGGTGATGGCTCCAGTGCCCACAGAGAGAGCCCTGCATGCCACCTCTGCCACACGTGCCATAGGTTTGCCATCACCATCATACTATCCCAGACAAATGGTTGCCCAATCTTTTCTTTAAAACTTCCAGGTTTGAAGCACTCACAACTTCTGGAGGCACGTGACTCCACTGATTAATTGTTATAACTGTCAGGAAATTTATCTTTAGTTCTAGGTTTGTTTTTCCCGTAATTAGTTTTCATCCATTGCTTCTTATCCTGCCTTCAAATTCTTATTCGTTAAATTGAATGAGAACTGGCAAGAAAAAAAAATGTCACTGTGACACATCTAAATTCACCCAAACAGTCCAGTCTAAAAGTCCTTAATTCAAAGAGAGATGTGCAATTCTCACTATCATATTTATAATCAGCCAGTCCAAAGATTTTTCTGGCTGTTGAAGATGCTGAATATTTTAACCTCTAGTCATTTGACTGATTTTGATCAATAAGAAGATGAACACAACTGACAAATCAGAGCTTGCAATGTGAAGTCAGAGCAATGCAAATACAGCCATGCACTTCTATCCATTCAATTCACTTTATACAGTCTGAACCCATATTTATTATGCACCTTTCTAACAATCATCTTTCACTAGAGGTCCAAAATCTGATAGTGCCTTTTCAGCATAACATATTTTATTGAAAGGTGTAAGATTTCATAAACAACAACAGCTCACTGCATCAGATTTTTTCCAAAAGAGGAACACCAAAGTTGACTTAAATGCTGACAGAACCATTTATTAATGGAGTAAATCATACATTCTGAAATATCGCAAAGAGCAAAAATAGTTATTAACAGAGACACTGGCCAATCTATATACTAGAGTTGTGAAAGAGATTATTGCAAGATAAAGGTGATAGGCATAGGGCAGAATATCTTTATGCTCTATTTAGAGAGAGATGAATGGATGTGGGGTTGATGGGGTTGTCTAAATTTCAACCTATAATAGAACAACTTTAAATTTAACTCCATCGTTTCCAGTTACTATAACTATGACCAAACTATAAATCTTATTTCCACAGTTTATGTCAAACCTTTAGCCAAAGGACCAGCCACAAACATTTATTTTATAGCTTTTACAGCTCATTCTGTCATGATACACCAAAATTGGAAGCATAGTTCCTTCTACGTGGACGGGGGGCAACACATAAAACTTGAAATTGGCTTAGTAGAATTTTTAAAAAGGATAAATATAGGTCTATTCTATCTAGGCTTCTAAAAACTGGATGAGCAAGAGTTGCCAGCAGAGAATTAGATTTTCTTCCCCTGTATTATTTTGGTGTTATATAGCGCCCACCAGGAATTTTGGAGGCCAGATTGAAACAAAAATCCTGGCTTCGCCTATACATTTGGTCTTACATATTTTGCAACACCATTTCATCCTCAGCAATTTTTGTTGTTGTCCTTTGGTCTCGAATGGTTGACACAATCTTTTAAATAATTAATTCTTGAAATGTTTTTCCATATTTGGATCTGTTTTCGGCTGGATCTAATATACTAATTCCTATGTACTTCTACATAGGTAACATTCTCTGTGGCTCCTTGTGAAATATTTGTCATTATTGTTACCTCTTTGTGTATGTTTATGTGTGTGTGTTTATGTGAATGATCATGTAGCTTTTTGAGTTCCCTTTCAGAGCTTCTAACCACATCTTTCCTAAATAACTAAGACAGCCAGCAGCCACTATATTACTTTTTCCCACAAAGTTTTAAGATGGAATTTCACCAGTTTAGGTTTCTGGTGAATGACTCACCCAAATGCTGCGACTCAGCTTTGCAAGCAGAAAGCAAAGGCAGCTTTTGAAAGGTATTCAGCTTCTTTCTACCACTCTAAGTCTCATAGCTCCATAACAAAGCAAAGCAGCAAACCGCAAAGTCTGTTTTTATATAGAGGATTAAGTCCACACTTAGAAATGTTTCGTTTCGTTTAATTTTATTTTAATTTTATTTATTTTGGCTACTAAACCTGGTTTGTAAAATGCTGAATACGTTTGTCTCTGTGCTACTTCATGGTTATGAAGAGTTTTGCATTCCAGATCTGCTTATAACTGAATAGGAACACAATTAAAATAAATGACTCCTGCAAGATGCAATTAACTTTCCAACCTTAGTTGGAATTAAGGGTATTTTTGAGCTGTGATTAAAAATAACCAAGAAAAGTCCTTTTAGGATGTCCTCTAAGCTTTTCGGTTGGCAGACTTTCCTATTTTACCGACAAGAATTAAACTTGTTTAAAATATGGCACCAGAGTGACAATAAGTGATACAAAATTAAGGCAGGACAGTATCAGATGAGGATGTTTTTAACAGGGCTGAAATTAGTCCAAATATTTTATTACCATTATAATTACCATATATAATATAATATTATTATTATAAGTAATATTATTATAATATTATATATAACATCATAATAGTCATAACCTGACTAGGTGGCTCAGACACTGAGCTTGTCGATCAGAAAGGTCGGCAGTTCAGCAGTTTGAATCCCTAGTACAAGTCTCTTGTGTGAGCTGGGGGTTGGACTAGATGACCTCCAAGGTCCCTTCCAACTCTGTTACTGTTACCTGTTACCATAATTATAATGGTAATTGGTCAGATTTAGACTAGAGTGGCAACATTTATCCACAGAACAACTAGCAAACAACTAGCAAAATGAGACCTGGTTAGAACTTGGCTGAGAGAACAACAGAATACCAAGGGTAAAAATTAGATGGAGAAGTTGAAAAAATCCTGAAATAAGTGATGCTAAATGTCTATAGAGATTCTCAGTCATCTAGGTCATGGTTGTCCCAAAAGTACTTTTAGACTTTTTTTTCCCCTTAAAGATGTTTTGTTTCTCATCCAAGAAGCTTCTTCAGTTCTGACTGAATGGTGGAGAATGGAAGGATTTATATTCCTTGTAGTCACCTGGTCATTAGCACTTTTTCTGAAAGTAGTTGAGGACACTTGGAGGTTTATCTGTGCCCTCAGCATCACCTGAATACTGTAAATGGGTGTGGAACCTTCTTGGAACTGCTGACTAACAACACAGTCCTTTCTTTCAGCAGTTCAAAGAAGGATCCACACCCATTTCCGCTATTCAGGTGACTCTGAGAGCACAGATAGACTCAGATAGACTCCATGTGGACTCAGGGAGTCTCAGAAAGAGTGCTAATGACCCAGATGACTGCAAGGAATAATAATCCTACCATCTTCTACCATTTAGTCAGAACTGAAGAAGCTTCTTGGATGAGAGGCAAAACATCTTTAAGGGGAAAAAAAGTCCAGTTGCCTTTGAAAAGCACCTTTGGGACAAATAATGCTAAAACACTTTTGTATTATTGCCAAGAAAAATCTGTAGAAATGACCATATAGCATTAAGCATCTTAACTCACCTTGAAGGAGATTTTTCCTTTAACTGATTTATCCTAAAAACGGTTTTTTTTCTTCACACATGCCATATAAGTGGACCAAGAATGAGCCAGATGTTTACATGTGGACCAGCAAACCATATTCAACCCTCAATCAAGTATGCAGAAGCAATAGGAAGAAAGTTTAAGGTTATACCTCTGGTTAGCCAGGATAGATATTCCATGCAAATGAAAACATATATCTCTTAACATAGAGAATATTTTTGCAGCTGAATATTTTACAGCTGATGTGAAGTTGCTGGAGGTTTGCATGACAGTTTGATAATCAGGAACAGGGCTATTGGTCTTGACCATTCTTATCTCAAATCTTCATGCTAAACAAAACATAAGATAATGGTGTTGGGAAAAGTTATTTGAATCACCAACTCCCAGTTTGAGCAGAAATGCAAACTAAAGCATCTGTGACAAATCCCTCCTACGCAGATGCCAGAGTCAAACTACATTTTCCATTGCGCTGCTAAGTCACTTCATTTACATATGAGATTTTGTCATCTTCCTGTTAAGGACTGAGCGTGGAGTCTCTTCAAATCTTTTAACCACGCCCTCTCTGCTCCTCTCAGTTATTTCGCTCAGTCTACTTGTAAGGACTTGTTTTTTTCCTCTGCTCGAGTTCAGTATCTTGATTAGAGAGTTTTAGGTTTTTTTATTTTTGTAGTGCTTTCTGGGCGATCTATTAGTGGAGCCGAAGACTTACATTGGGACAGCTTGCGGCTGCGGCTGTCCCTCGGTTATGGCGGTGGGTAACTGGATCTGGGGCTCCAGACCAGCACCCCCACCTCTCAAAGTGCAGGAGATAGGAGTCTGACCCGGCTGGGCAGCTCCAGAACGGCCCGCGCCGTTTTCCTTGGCCGCCGGTGTGCGCGTCGGTTCCAGGTGAGCCTGGTTAACCACGGCCGCCATTTTTTCAAGGCTCCAGTTAGTGTAGGGCGGCTCCGGAGTGCCTGGTAGCCTAGCTATTCAAACTCCGTTGATTTCTTTACCTCACTTTCGAAGCCGGGAAGCAGAATTTCAGGCACTCTGGCGTTTCGCTGTTGCTGATCGTCCTGGAGCAGCACGGGGCGCTGGGAGCCGGTAACCATTTTCGCACCCTTTTCGCTTTGTATTTGATTGACAGTTGAGGTGTTGGCGGTGTGAGGGGAGTATCAATCTCGACCGCTCTTGTTGCCTGCCAGCTGAGGAGGGAGGACAGAGAGTAAGGACCGTTTGGAGGATTCCTACCTAGGTCTGAGGTACTTCCCTTTGTGACAGTTGACTTGGATGGCCATTTTGAGACTCAGATTTTGCCACCAAAACTGTTTCTATTTTTCTGCAGCCTGCTGCCATTTGGAATAACTTTAACATGGCAGATCAGGAATTCTCTTCTGACAGTGAAGAACCTCAATCCCCTCCCAAGGCAAAAAAGACTAAGAAATCAAAATCTAAAGCCTCTGCTGTTCCAGCCAGACAGGATCCAGAGGCCTCCTCATCCAGACCTCCCCCTTCTGCCTCAATGGACAGAGACGCCATTAGAAGGCATAATGCATTGGAGAAACATGCAAGAGGGCTCAAAAGAAAATTCAGGCTTCCTTGGCTCCATCTTTTCCTCAGTCTGAGTTGGAGGATGACTTGACTCATATAGATCCGATAAGGCCTCCCTCTACCTCGCAGGGTTCTCAGCAAGATGGTCTGGCTCCACCCCAGAATTTGGTCCTGGGGATGCAGGCTATGGATATGAACCAACCTGTTAATTTTCAAACCATGCTCTAGCCAAGCATTTGCTTCGGGTTTTGGTCAACAGATACTTGCTGCCCCTGCTACTTGCCACCGACATGCCAGCCAGATGCCCACTACCTCGGCTGGCTGTCATTTTCATGTCAGCCACTCCTTGCCTAGACCTAGTCAGGCCAGTCAGGCTATTTCGCAGGAACCACTCGATAGTGAGGAAGCAGGGCAGCTTGAGAGAGAGGCTGAGGAACCAGAGTTCTCAGATGACGATGCGGTTGAACCAGATAGACCTGCATTCACTACCTTATTTAGGCCTGCTGTGTTTAAAACATTGCTTCATAAAGCTAAATTGGCAACTAATATGAGCTCCCTTTCCAGGGCTCCTGATCAGGACACTGACCCTCAAAAATCTCACAATGAGTTATTTCCTGTCCCCTGTCCGGATCAGAACTACATTCCCTGTCCGGAGTTATTTTCTGGGGTCATTAAAAAACAATGGGAACACCCAGGGGCCCTTTCTGCTCCCTCTGGGCATGATAAGAAAATTTACTGTGTAGACCCTTCCTTGGAGAGTCTTTTGGCTCTTCCGACAGTGGATCCTCCAGTAGTTAATTTATCTTCTTCTACCATTTTCTCCTCAGATGTCATAGAAGTGCTCCGCTCAGAGGATAGGAAAGCAGAGGTCGCCTTTAGAAAGAGCCACCAGGCGGCAGCCTGGGCGGTAAAGGCCACCACTTCGGCTTCATTTTTTAATCGGGCCAATCTTGTTTGGCTCAAACAGCTTAGGGACCGCCTGCCTCCGGAAGACCTGCGTCTTCAACAAGACATCAATAAGATGGTGGCGGCAGCCGAATATTTGGCTGACGCATCTCTTGACGCAGCTAAGTTTGCGGCCGGGACAATGGCGTCTTCTGTGACGTCTCGACGGCTCCTCTGGCTTCGCCCTTGGCGTGCCAACTTGAAGGCTAAGTGGAAGTTGGCGTCCACCCCCTATCAGGGTACTAATTTGTTTGGACCTGCATTAGAGCCCATTCTGGTTGAGGGTAATGATAAAAAGAAGACCCTTCCGGTGTCCTATAGAAGGAAGGAGTGCTGTTTTACATCATATTCCCAGAGGCAGCCCTTTCGTCAGGACCCAGGACCCAGTGGGTCCTATGCTGCTAGACCATACTCTCAGGGATATGATAAACCAGCTGACAGACAGTCTTTCAGGGACAGAGGCAGGTTCCAGTTTGCCTCCAGAAGACCCTATGGGGTTCTGGATCCAGGCCCGGAAGGTGAGGCAAATGACTTGCTTCCCCTGCTTCCCATAGGCAGACGACTCAGCCACTTTGTCAGTCAGTGGGAGGCTTCCACGTCCGAGGATTGGGTCCTTCGGACTGTGAGACTAGGTCTTACTTTGGAATTCAGAACCAGGCCCCCCAACCGTTTCATTCCCTGCCCCATTCCTCATCAGCCAGAGAAACACCAGCAGTTGAGGAAGGAGATTCAACATTTAATAGATATAGCGGCAATAGAACCTGTTCCTGCTGGGCAAGAAAGGTTGGGGGTGTATTCAATTCTGTTGCTAGTTCCCAAGGCCTTGGGGGGTTGGAGAGCCATCCTATATCTCAAATTTGTCAACAATTTTCTTATGTTCCGAAAATTCAAAATGCAGTCCCTCAGGACTATTCTAGATTGCGTGCGGAAGGACGATGTGATGACGTCATTAGATCTCCAGGAGGCTTACCTGCACGTGCCTATCCACCCGGCCCATCGCTGCTTCCTGAGGTTTGCATATGCGGGAGTACACTACCAATATCGGGCCATGCCCTTTGGTCTTTCTTCTGCATCATGAACTTTCACCAAGTTGTTGGCGGTGGTAGCAGCGGCTATCCGGCTTGTTCCGATCAGAATACTCTGTTATCTCGACGGCATATTACTGCTTTCTCAGTCTCCTCAACAGGCTCTCCAGGATCTGGAGATGGTGACCAACATCATCACTCGTCACGGATTCTCCATAAATCATCGAAAGAGCCATCTTCAGCCTACAACCAGAATTGCTCACCTGGGGGCATTGATAGATTTGGAGGAGGGACTGGTTTTCCTGTCACCGGAATGGCAAACCGACATCAGGACTTTAGTTCGACATGTCCTAGCTCATCTACAGGTAACATTTCTAACCTTATCAAAGTTGCTCGGGAAATTTATTTCTTGTATCTCAATAGTGCCGTGGGCACGATGGCATGCGCACCAACTCCAATGGTTCCTCCTGCCAGCGCAGAAGTCGGGCCAGAGCACATCTACATCCAAGGTGAGGCTTCCTCCCAAGGTGAGAGCGTCCCTCAGGTGGTGGGACTCAGAGGCGATCAGCAGGGGTTGCTTCTTCCAGGAACCCAACAGGATTGCGGTGACATCAGACACGAGCCTGTTGGGCTGGGGCGCCCACATGGGGTCTTGGGTTGTCCAGGGTCAGTGGTCTCCCATAGAAGCCAAGAACAGTATAAATTGGCTAGAACTTCGAGCTGTCTGCCTTGCCTTGAGACACTTCCAGGACATGCTTCTACACCAGCATGTCCTGGTTCTAATGGACAACATGGCCACCAAGGCCCATATCAATCACGAGGATGGCACGCGCTCCCCCTTATTAATGACAGAGACAGACAAGTTGATGACCTAGGCAGAGACTCATGTGCTTTCCCTGAGGGCGGAACATATTTTGGGGGGCTCCAATGTCCAAGCCAGCTGGCTCAGCCGGAAACAATTAGACCCCTCCGAGTGGAGGCTCCACCTGGAACTGTTCCAATGCATCATCGACAGATTCGGCCTTCCGACTGTAGGCCTGTTCGCCAGCCTGGAGAATACTCAACTCCCTCGGTTTATTTCAAGATTCCCGAGTCAGGGGGCCCTCAGTTACGACGCCCTTTGTTGTCGGTGGCCTCAGGGTCTGCTGTATGCTTTCCACCTCTGGCCCTCATCCCGAGGGTAATAAGGAAACTGATAGTGGAAAGGGCGGAGGTCATCCTGTTGGCTCCTCATTAGCCAAGGTGACCTTGGTTCGCCGACCTCGTGGCCCTGTCGGTGTCGCCTCCCTGGAAAATACTTCGGGACCGCATCTCTCTCAGCCAGGGGGCAGTTCAACATCCAGACCCCGGTTGGCTGCACTTAACCGTGTGGCATTTGAGAGGGTCCTCCTGAGGAGATGCAATGTTCCAGGAAAGGTGATTGGCACCATTCAGGCCGCTAGACGGCCCTCTACCACGAGGATTTATGAATCGTCTTGGCAGACGTTTTGCAGTTGGTGCCGTCTGCGTCACGTGGACCCTACTTCTGCCAGCATTTCCGACATTCTGGTTTTTCTGCAGGATGGGTTTGACAAGGGGTTGGCTCCCTCTACCTTGAAAAG